AAAAAAGGAAGGACGTCAAAGGGTGACTGATATGTCACTATAATGACTGTTAATAACTGCAACACGCCACTGAAATGTTAGTGAGTTTCAAACAACAGACAAATGGGCTTGGGATAAAGCCTTTAGCTGTACATTCCATTCATACAATTTTTCTCAGGATGAAGCAAAAATATTCATTGTGATCGTTACGCTAAATGTCACAACCAAGCTGAGTTTTCACGATAAGGTAACCTTCCATCCAATCACAGAACTTTACCCAGTTCAGTGCCAACCATATTATGTTCTCGTCGGTTAAAACGCTCGAAAACCAATTATGATTGCGGGCACAGAGGAATTTATGAAAGTGGCAGCTAAAGCCAGGGCGTTGGGGTTTTTTTTTTTCACGATATAACAAGCGAACGATCCTTTCTAATTTTGACAGGTTTCGTTTTGTTTCGTTATTGAGGCTTTAAAAACGTTTTTTTAAATCCTATGGGCGCTACTTGTAAACATCGCCCTATCTTCCGAGATGACGATAAGGAGAGAAGGTTAGAGCTAGTTTATTTGTCAAGCCACAATTTTCTGTTCTCGTAACATGCGACACTTTCTGTGTATATTTTAACAAGCATCACATCATAGAAAACATCTTGCTCAATGATTTGAACCTTGTCATTTCGATGGATGCTATTATTGCTATTCGATTTCTCAGATATTGTTAGATTGTTGGATGCTCCTTTTCGGATCCAATTTGCTGATCGCTAAACCCCCTTTTTCCGAAGGCGGTTTGAGGAGGTAATAAAAGTAAAGTTGTTCCCGCATCCGATCAGGACATTTGGGGATTGCCTTGTTGTGAGACAACTTCCTGGGTCTTCGGCATTAATTGTGGTAGGGTGGCCAGTTCCTTTCCACGCCGCCTTTACATCCCCAACTCGAAGTCAGGTACCCATTACTGCTGGATGGGCAGGAGGGGGCGAAAAAAGTCCGTGTCCGAACCCAGGCTCGAACCCGGACTTTCCGCTTCGGAGGTGAGCGCACAAACTGCTCCGCCACTGCACCCTCGAGGAGGTAATATCGTTTTGCGGGAAAAATTTTATTTTTACAGTGGAATCCTGTTATAACGAGAGGGAGGGGACCGGTGCAAAATGTCCGTTATAGCAGGATTCTCGCTATAAGGGATCCAGTAATAAATTCAAGGGAAACTGTAAAGTAGGCCTATTCTATGAGTTTGGTGTTCTGTTTATTTCCTTTTACTATATCCCCTGTGATGATTTTGTTTCAACATGACCTCTAGGTCCTACTTGATCAAAAATCGAATCAGTTTTCTTTCTCTAGCGATAGCGATGTTGATTGGCATCTCTGTGTTGGCGATCAGAAAGAAAGGCCTCTGGGCTAACTCGCC